ATACCTGTCTCCACAACACCAATGGCCACAGACTGGCTGATACATGATCAGTGAAGAGTCTGTCTCTGCTCAGTTCTCATTTCATTCATTAAACAATGCAGTCAGTAAGAAACAGAATACCAGCAGTTAGTAAATTTGAGCCTTCAAAGACTCATCTAGCTGAAAAGCTCCCTGACTTAGTGAAAAACCAGAATAGAAGAAGCAATGAAAGACCAAGGAAGGGAATAGAGAAGCTGCCATACGCAGTGCAAGCCAGGCAGTTCCTCCACTTTGCCAAAATGCAGCTTCCGTTTCTCAAGAAGCCAAAATTCATGTTCGCTTCTTTGGCTGCTCATAAAGAGTCAAAGAAGAAAGATATCTGGGTCTGAAATTTGAATTTCAAAGGAGAGAAAAATATATATGTACAAATGAGAATCTAATCAGCTTCTAATCAGAAAAAGTTATTTTATCCATTATTTAAATTTAGAGTTCATTATTAAAGTCACCCCAGGACATTCAGATTTATCCAGGAACAGTGGTGAGAACTAGGCATTCCAGTTGAAAATTTGTCTTTAAAAAATTAGGTATTGGGATATATAATGGAAAAAAAAAGAAATCTGCTTAGCCATTTAAATAAAAACAACAAGCAGCAGCATCATCTTACATCACACCATTCCTACCTAACTACATGGAACAAAATATTCAAACTGCTAAAAACATTAATACTGGTAGTAAAGAAAAATTCTCTTCCTTCTGACACTGTCAAAGTAATTTTAAAATACAAAATACATCTACTAGAATTTGTATTTTGACCTCTATTTTGAATATATTCTTTCCTGATAACATAGTCTACTAAAAAGGTACCAGCACATTGCTTTCAACCACTTTGAGAAGCACCTCTTGCTGCTTGAAGCTAAATCTGTATAAAACCCAGTTTCTACATCCGGAAATATTGCAGTATCTTTTTCAAGTCCTAGGAAGTGTTAAGGCAGCATTTTGAGTATATTTGGGATCTCAGAGATAATTTTAAAGCTGTCTGCCTGGCACAGCAGGAACCATTTGTACCAGTAGCTGTTTTGCCTAGCAATAATCAGGGAGGGCCTGAAAAGAGTGCAGCCTTACTGGCATGCCAGGAATTAGCCCTTTTTCCTCAGGAAGAAACCATACTGCTTTCAATTTCTCTTTCATAGACTTAAAATTCCTTTGGCTTTTAATCTCTATTCCTTTGCACTTTCTCAAACACTGTGAAATAGCTAATAGTACTGATAACATTTTTTCCTATGCAACACCTTTTTATTTGCATCTGCTCAGAGATCTCTGAAGGGTATAAATATAATAGTATAAACAGTGTAACATTGGTGGGAATACTAATAATATATAGAACTATGATAATATAGAGAAAGTTGATAATTAATAGTGATATAGATACTGGAGGTTTAATTCTGTAAATTTGTCATTGTAAAATCCTGAAAGCTACTTTTTTTTTTTTTTTTTTTTTTTTTTGTTTTCTTGAATTTTTTTTTTTTTTTTTCTTTTTGTGTGTGTGTATGTAACATGCAGAATGGATCAAAACAGATCTTACTAACTGGTAGTAGTGAATTAAGTTTGGCATAACTACTCTATCATAATACTGGAAACCATTAAAGCATACTTTATAGGGGTTTATCAGGTAAATTCCTATGTTGGTGCAAGAGCAAGTTTGTGAGAAGAAAACACTCTATGAGCTAGCTGATATATCAAAAATAGAGTATCTGGGCACTAAACCAAGTTGTAATGGACAGAAATTCAGGGTTGTCACAAGTGCTGATGCTGGGATTGATTTTTGCTGTATTTTCTTAATGATTTGAGAAAAGAAACATGCTAAATTATGATTAAACTTCTAAAAAACTCATAAGTGATGAGAAATGGAAAGCAAAAACATGGATCAAATCAAATGACATTTTAAAACTGTGGATATTTTCACACAGCATTCATAGTTTAGGTAAGGTACACCTCATAACGTAGTGTCAATATTTCTATTTGCACACCTGCAGAAAGCCCTGAAAAAATGATGCAAGTTGGGAAATTAGGCACAGAAAATCATTGCTGTATCCACTAGGTGCAGGGGCCATTGATGGTCCTAAAAAGAACTGATGACCAGTGAATCTATATATCCATAACTTTGATTGCCTTCCCCCATCCTTCCCAAAAAGCTTTTGGAGGTTTTGCAATATCATCTCCTAGGGTACAACAGAACATAGGAGTTCTTGTGAAGCTGATTTGTCCAGAAATCCCACTGTATTTTCTCAGAGTCTGATGGTAACCAGAACCATCACTGGGTGCTCTGACCCCACAGGAAGCCTGTTCACAGAACACTTTGGCAGCATATTTTACTTTCTCACATTAACTGAAGTTACGAGGCATTCAAAGCTTAATCTCTGCTGGCAGAAGAGGATCTCATGGTATTTTCTATCTACCGTGACTCAATTAGATGACAAGGCAGAAAGAAAGAGAAGTGCAGAGACAGAGATCCTTTCACCTGCCATTCAAGAGTCTCCTCCCTTGAAGGATTTTTTCTCCAGAGGAAGTGTGATCATTACAAAATTATTAAACAATATGTTGGGTTTGACCTCTAAGCTCAGAGAAAAATAAATAGATCTATAGGAGCTTCCTACTTTCTTCTCTGAATTTCTTTATTATTGTTGTGCCTGTAATAATGCAATCAAACTGAAATGTATTTCCAGCAGATTTCTTCAGAACTATCTTGACAGAACAATGAAAATTAGTCTGTGTAAGTCATCTAATCAGTGGTGTCTCTACTTGAGGTCAAAGAAAGGCTCCCTGAATTAGCTATTTTCTTTTTGACATGTGTCTTGAAGATGAATGTGCAGTCATGTCTTTTTTTCGACAGAGTAGCATCAGTATGAGAAACTCTGTTTTAATGATAATGATGGTGCTGTGACCTAAAATAGATTGATAACTATCATGAAGATCGATTTACTTTCTACCCTTTAAAAGGATGAGTGGTTTACTTTTATGTTTGAGCTAGACTTTTCTGTGCCCAGAACATTCTTACAAAGGCCTAAAAAATGTCCCCATTAATGTTCAAATTCCAGTCAACTTTAAAACACAAGTTCAGAATTTGCCAATCTGATCCCCACCCAAAACAGCAGTGTTGAGGAAAGACTTCGTGTGCTTTATGAAACCAAATGGATGCTATCAGCAGTTTCAGCATTTAAGAGAAAAGGTCTAATAAAAACTCTGATTCTTCCTTTTGAACATGCACCAGAGAAATCTATGCAATGAAATATTGTCTGTTATATGTAGTACCCTTTAAAGCATACACAAAAGTCCATGGAAACAAACTGTTTCACATTCTTTTATATTTTTTAAATAATTACAGGTAACAAGTGGGTTTTAGAGTTTTCAGTTTTCCCTCCTTTTTTTGTTTTAGTAGTAGTGTACAGGATTTTAATATAACTACTCTTTGCATCTAACAACTGAGAGTATGGATTTATTTTGCTACGAAGATGGCAGTAGACTTCACACATATTTCTAAACAAGATTTCACAAGACCTCCTTTTTATGTAATTCATCAGCATGAAATTGTTTAATAAGAAACTTTTATGGTTTGAAATATTTAGCGATTGATCAAGAAAATATTGATGTCATTCTGCATCTGGAACTCATCTCAGTTCTGACCCTATTACCATTTTTTATATACAGAGAATCATTTGAAATCAGGTGGATTAAAGTAGCTGGATGGACTATTTTCCACTAGCAAAATGCATCTCTTTAGTATAGTGACACTAGGCCAAAGATGAAAGTTGCTATTGCTAGAAAGAAAGGAGGGATGTATGTACATATTTTAGGCATGGTGCATAAATAAATACTGTGATATTTTGCCTTTTCACAACAGATGACATCTTTAAGTCAAGAAGTCTCACAATTACGTAAGGATATGAAGAATGTGATGCACCTTCTGGAAAACCTGTTCACGTCCCAGAAGCCTCCAGGATTCTGTGCTGTGCACAGCATATCTCGAAGTCCCACACTGGATAGTCTGCAGTCTCGAATGGCTTGGACTACACATCAGCCTTGCTCACACATGCAAGCTGGGAACTTCACTTGCACCAAAGCACAACTTTGTCGTGGAAACACACTATGTGACATTTGGAATACAAGTCTGTCTTCTGTAGGCAGCAGTCCCCAACGGACTGAACCCAACGTGCAAAATTCTATGGATGGTGAACTTTATTATACAACAGGCCTTCAAAATTCCCCTTCCCAGTATCACGTAATTCAGAAAGACAATCTGCAATTTTTGAGATGCACTTCTCCCCACTCAGACACTACCCTGACTCCTCTTCAGTCTATTTCAGCAACTCTTTCTCCTTCAGTTTGCTCTTCATCAGAGACATCACTACACCTAGTGCTGCCCAGCAGATCAGAGGAAGGGAGCTTTAGCCAAGGAGCAATTAGCTCACTGAGCCTTGAGAACCTGCCAGGATCGTGGGACCTGGAAGGAACAGCCAGCGTAACTTCTGCACTGACCCCAGATTTCCCAACAGACATTGTGACAAGCACAAGGGATGTTAAAGATAAAGACTGCCAAGCCATAGATGTATGAAAACCAGGGAAGTAGTACTCAAGGCATGTTCCACAGCTGCCAGTTTTAAATTTAGAGTACTGCATGACTGCTTTATTTGATTCCTGTTTTGGCGATCACGGAGACTTACAAACATGAAAATTCAGACTCATACAAAGTAAGAAAAGGTAATGGTTCATACTATAGGAAAAACAATAAATTTCTAGATTCTAGAAGCATGTTGAAAAACATTTTGAATACAGATATAACTTGTCTGTTTGACAGACTTTTGTGATAGTCCAAAGACCCTGAGGGTCAGAGCAGCTGGAAGTCTAGCACAAAGAACTGTCAAGGGTGGCTTTTGTTCATTGAAGCAAAGGTTTTCCCTGAGTGTCTGACTGTTGTTTCCAAACAATATCTATGGCACTATTTGCTTCAGGTGATCGTGGGTCCTGCTGGTCTTTTTGTCAGTTCTGTGAAGGCAAAGGACATTCGCTGCATGTCATCTAGACAATCAACCAAATAGAGCTGCTAGAGAGTGCTTAGATGTTGCACGTTATTTGTCATGTAAATGAAACCTCTTAATTTATCTAAAAATACTATTTTTATATACTTGATATGAAACATGTACCTAAAAATTATTTAAAATATTTATAAAGAGAATAAGAGTTGGGCTTCATTTTGGTAAAAGCTTGCAGTTTTAACAAGAAATGCACTACCATCGTGTATTAGATCAAATACTATTTATTGTTAAGATATCATGTAGTTTACAAATGGCCTCCCTTTTATGTGCATGCAATTTGCAATGGATGTACTCATTCTGGTGGAATACAAATAAATTAAGGTATTATTTTATTTAAAAAGATAAAAGAGCTGGAATGTTGTATCCTATAATAAGGTATCACTACTTAAAAAGTGAGTTGTTATACTGATAACATTAAGTACTCTTGGTTTGTGTCTTAGTATTGCTTTGTCATTTGTAAGACCAAGTCAACATTTTAAAATACATTCCTGTTTAGGGGCTATATATCTGGTTAACAGCATTAAAAGGGATGAAAACCAATGAGCAAACTGAGGAATATTAAAGGAGGAAATTACAACTTTAGTAAGTCTGAATCAAAAAATTAAGATTAAAGTAGCTACTTATTAATTGATCCTTTTGTTTCATCTCTAAAAACTAGCTTTGATTTTTAGTCAGAATTTTTTTAAAAAAGAGATACTATAGGTTTGGTGAATTATATAATTCAGAATCTGACTTAATGCCCCACCACCAACATTTTTTTTTCTGGTATATAATGTACTAGAAACATTGCTACAGTGCAATCAAGGCTATAGATTTGCATTGGAATTTTGATTTTTATATATAAAATGTGCAGTGAGCATCAAATTTACATATCCTTTAACAACCTTTCTAAAAAAAAAAGAAAAAAAAAACAAGCCAAAATAAATGTCCTAAAATGGATAAGTAAACTAAGTTATATTTAATAATTCATTCAAACTGCATGGTTATCAAATTAAAATTTTTACCGAGGACAGATTTAGGTTTAACTTCCTTAGGAGATTATTTTGGTGGGATTTTTAATGGAAACTTCAAAGATGGAATATATTTTAACATTTAGCTGTGTGTAGGAATACAAACCCCAGCTGATACTCTGTGCCCAACCTACATCCTTTCACAGCCATTTCCCTGCTGGTACAAATTAGGGATGAAGTGTCATTTCCCATTTTGGGCTACATGAATTTTGCCAGTGTGTCTACACCTCAATGTGAGTGTTTATACAGGGTTTCTTACTTTCCCTCTCTTCCAGTTTTTACTTAGTTTAAGGTTAAATAGAGACATACTGATTAAATAAATAATATCCCAGAAATCTTAAAAAACAATAAAATAATAATAGTAGCAAATACAGTAGCAAGTACAGTTCTGTGGTATTTCTGTAAAGAGTCCTGGTTCACCTTTGGCTATCTGCTGTCGCCACCCCACTTCAGCACTGGGCAGGAGGCTGGGGGAGGCTGCCTGCTCCCCTCTCCCAGGGCAGGAGCCCCACCTCACCTCAGCACCCTACAGCCACTGTCCTCTCCTGTCCTCAGCCACAAGGTGCAGCTCCTTGGGATGCATGGATACATGCTGCACAGCTGTCCACAAATCCTGATTCCTCTCCCTACTGAGAGCTGACTTACTGACTGAGAACGCATAAACACACCATGCCTAGTTCCTAATGGCATTTAACAATTTCCATTGCCCATATAAATTGGGAGAAGCATTTTCTTTCTCATTTTATGACATATAAACCATTATGTATATGCATTAAGGTTTTGACATTGTTTTGTTTTGTTTTGTTTTGTTTTGTTGTTGTTTTTTTTTTTTCCACTATAAACACTGGTGTCATGGATTAAAACCAGATATTTTTTACTGGAGTTTTTGGGTCAGTTTTGTACAAAAGTTTAAAAAGATCAGTGGAAACACAAAAAACCCTCTTTGCATACACAGCTTTAGCTTTAGTGTTGTACATTTTATTCTCAAATAAAAATTCTTAAAAAATATGTGCAGTAATTATGAAGAAATAGCACCAGGATATCTGTCCTAAGTTGTTCTTTGTTTCTGCAACTGTCAAGAACATCCCAAACAAAGCTGGCAAGCATTCTAATCTTTGTATTGGCATAATTTCAAGGAACACACCAGAATTGTGGAGATTCTGTAAGATGGGCATCACACAGGTGAGTGCACTGCCTTCCAGGGAAAAGCTCAAGGACCTGCAGAGAAGGCAAGAATAACAGCAGGTTTAACTCCAGCCAGCACCCAGCCCCATTCCACTACTCACTCATTTCATTCCTGTCAGAATAAGCAACAAAACTGGAAAAGTAAAAGCTAGAGAACTCATGGGTTGAGGTAAAGACAGTTAAACAGAGAAAGGATGTGCATGCAAGCAAAGCAAAGCAAAGCAAGGAATGAATTCACTGCTTCCCATGGGCAGCAGGTGTTCAGCCATCTCCAGGAGAGCAGGACTCAGTCATGCGTAACTGTGACTTGGGAAGACAAATGCCATCACTCCAAATGTCCCTCCCTGCCTTCCTCTTCCTCCAGCTTCAATATGCTCAGCATGGCACCATATGGTATGGAATGTCCCTTGGATAAGTTGGGGTCAGCTGTCCTGGCTATGTCCCCTCCAACTTTCTGAGTACCCCATGCTGGTGGGTGGGGGGAGGAATAGAAAAGGCCTTGGCTCTGTGTAAGCCTTGCTCAACTGTAGCAAAAACTTTCATCACCCTGTTTCAGCACAAATTCAAACCATAGCCCCATACCAGCTGCTGTGAAGAGCTGTGTGAAGCAAATTAAAAATCCCAGTCAAGACCAGCACACCTGGCCAAAATCAAGTAAAGAAAGAGGAAGGTCTTGAAGGGTTGTACTATTTTAAACTCCTGCTACCATCACAGTATGAAACTCTCAGGAAAAGCATTCCTCAAGCAGCTTTTGTTAGAAGGTATCTGCAACCAGTGTAAAAATTTCACTTTTGAAGGTGAAATGACAATTCACAGGGACAAATTTGAAGGCATATACTTTTGAAATTGAACAATATCCAAGAAAGATTACCATGGACATAATAATTCTCCACACAGATTGGCCATTGAGGATATCTGGGATTAAAGCAACAACCACTGTAATATTTACATGTTACCTTCAAAAGACTCTCAGTATGAAAATCAATGCAAGCATCCCACACTCTAACATCCAACCACCCAGTTCAGACAACTGAATTTATTCTTTTTTACACTAACCTTTACAAAAATAATAAAAACAATTGTTAAAAATTGTTCTTATCTAATTCTGCATCAGTTTACCTCCTAAATTTGCGCCATTTCCTTCCTTTCTTGCATTTACTAGCACTGTCCATTTCTTCTTCTGTAGAGTAACGATTTTTTTCCCCTTTCTATTTTATTTCTCCATCTTTTTCTCTCACTTATTCAGTTTTATAATCTCTTTCTAACTTCATCAAACCCAACCATGTCTTTCATTTCCTGGTAATTTTTCTGTTAAGAATCATCCTAAGTCTGCCACTAATAAATGAAATAGTTACTGAACTCTTTTGTACAATAGGACACCATATTTGGACTCTGTCAAGACTCAGGCAGTAAACCACTGGACTTTAAACCAAACTCTCCTGCACTGTTATATTCTCACAATGTTGTAGTTGCTTTCACTGAGAATGGAAAAAATAATGGAAAACATGAAAAAGATGCACTGGAAAACAAACAAATCAAAATACCAAAAGTAGGCAATTTGTCCTCTGCCTCAGATGCATCATTACAGATATGTACTCGTCCTGTGCCCATGGTACCTACTAGATTCAACTTAAGAAACACAGCTTATCGCTTATCACTTATCATTTTTTCACAAATCATAACCAGCTCTTGTGATAAGCTTGCTTTGACAGTTGGTTGGTTATCTACCACAAATAACTTACTCTAATTAGTCCATCTGCTATCTGCACATTAGATTTCAATACATTCCCCTTTATGAGGCAGTTTTGTAACATGCTTTGTCAATAACCTAGTTGGTAGCTTGTAAAAAAATCCTGTGTTTCACAAATGAAACCTTGGGTTGAAACAAACTGATCTCAACATTTTCTGCATCTTCTTTCCTTAACTTAAAAGCACATAGTTCTCTCATGTCACTCAGTGGGACACACTTTAGGTATTTTCTTTGTGTGCACAAAAAGTGCACAGTCACATTCCTATGTTCTATAAATATTTACTTCAGCTTTAAAAGAAAGAGGTTATTGCTGATAATTTAGGCAGCAGTGGAGTAAGAAATAAGAAAAGGGCTGGTGCTTGATTTTTCTGGATCACTCTCCTATCTCAGTAACAGGAATTTGCCCAGCTGTCATCAATTCCAGCAGCCTACATGGTACTGAGTCTTTGCTTCATTCATAAAATCAAGTAGCTTATCTCAAGAAATCTAAGCTCATCTCATTCATTATCTGCCAATTGTCAAAATAGTTAGATACTAGTAAAAAATAATTCACAGCTGCAGGTTTGTTAGATAATGCCACATGCAAAATCAGTTTTAATCCTTTCAAGATGAGCATAAAAATCACATAATGATTCCCAGATCAGCCACTGATCTCTTGTGTATTTTATAAAATTCTCTTCCTTTGTATTTTATAAAAGTCTTTTCATTTCTCCTATCATACATTGTCAGTAGCAACAGCAATGACAGGAAACAGCAATTTCTGGTTTCAAAACCACAAAAAAAATGCCACAGACCTGATCCTTTCATTTAGAGAAACTGGATTATGAAAAGCAAATTTTATCTATGTACCTTGATACAGTAATTTCCAAGTATCTGTAAATCTCTCAGAGAAGCAAGCCAAAAATGTTTAAGACTTGAAAGACCAGTGTCAATAAGAACTTGGAACCACAAAAGTTGTACCAGGAGGAAAAGCAGCACCTTCCTCTTTCAAATTGTTTTAAATGTTAAGATTTAATATGGATCCTTACATTTGTGCCTTGGGGTGTGTTTTAAGTCTATGCATTTATTTCCAAGCAATTAACACTTGAATTTGTTCTCTCTTCACAGATCTTCTGGAACCCATTTTGCTGGGTAAATCCAAAGGTTTTTTTGCTGTGGTAAATCCAAAGGTTTTATACATTACCAAGAATTGGAAAGGTAGAAAAAGTAAATAGTGAAGGTCTTTATCTTCAATTACACTGAATTTTACAAATTATGCATTACAATTGTAAATGGCTAGAATGTATTTAACCATAGAATAAAATACCAACATAATTAATATGACATGCAATAAATGCTTCCACCAACAAGCCTCTGGGAAATATTTCCTCAGTTTTTAAATTTTATTTATTATCCTAGATGCTGTGTTATCAACCTCAAATACTCAAAGATCCCTGATAGGGTCCCTGAAAGAGCTACAACTTCATTCAACTGCTTGAATTCATTCTCCTTTTCAAATGCCTTTGATCTATTACATTGATTTCTCTCAAAATGCAAAGTGGTGCAAGGGTTAACACTGTTATAAATGACAGCTATAGGAACAGCTGCATAAACTTGCAGTTTTGCCTGTTGCCAAACAGTTTCTTTGTAACTCTTGTGATGCCTCAGGGTCCTTTGTGCAGAAGAACCCTAGGGTCTTAGAAAACAATGGTGGAAATTTTAAGTAAATCAAAGAGCAGTAGAAGACTTCTCAGGGAAATGTGCAAATATATTGAGGAATTTTTTTTTTTAATTAAAATCTCACAGGCCTTCACATTTAACATCCACAAATCCTAAGGATTTTTAGGACAGTCAATGCAAATTTCCAAATGTCTAAGTGCACTTTATCTGCACATAAATTTCACATTTCATATGTAGTGGGTAATGTATATATTCACCCTGACCTGGCCTACATAGTAACTATTCTGATTCTTTATTTTTAGTGTAGTCCACCCCTGACTTCTTCATGGAATTAAATATACTATGTTCTTCTTCTGCTTACCCTAATACAAAATAACTCATGGCTAAAAAGCCACATATTTGGAGAGGTTTTGCTTTCACGAGGCATTTTAAAGAGTTTGCTTCCTGTTCAAAAAAATCAAAGCTTCCTTCAAGAAGAAGGAGACTAAAAAAAAAAAACCACTCAGTGTTAACCTCCCTATGTACAAACAATCAAATCCCACACAGCAATTCCTTCTTGACTCTGCAGTCAGACACAGAACAAAAACAGCAGCACCCTGAGACAAACTGGAAGAGCAAGCCTCCACAGGCAGTAATATTATAGACTAATTATACCTTTTTAAAGGCCAGAATTGTCAATCATTTACTTCCTGGCTTTCCTTACATGATTTTTTTAACTTAACATATATATCTAGTGCTGCTGGATTTCATTTCCCCACCCCTACACAGCACTGATCCACAAAAATACAGCTGGTATTCTTACTAGAAAAATGCCAACATTATTTCAGGAACCATGCAAATAGCTTCTAAGCAGTATCTTAAAGACTCTAGATGAATGAAGGGATTTCTTGCATTTTATTTGTTTATAGGAAAGGAAAATGATAACCTCTTTAACAGAAAATATTTTTCATTTCACCCATGGTAGTCTGAAATTTTCCAAAAGGAAATAGCAAAAATCTCTTCTGTGTCTTTGCTTGTAACGCAATTGTGGGAGGCAAGGATATGACACAGGATGGACAGGAGCAAAGCCAGCAACACACACGTTCTCTGAATGCTACACTATCTCATAACATCATTTTTAAATGTTACTGAGTCATGATTGTCAAGCAGCTTAAATGTGTTCAAAGATGTGCAATCACCTGCTTATTTTTTCCCATACAGAATTATCAGTTTTTATTACGGATTGTGCCAGAGAATCTCTGATGAATGTATATATAGAGCATAAAAATAGTTACTGGCACTTGTACCAGTACAATCACAGAGAAGGCAAAAATTCCTTATTACCAATCTCTCCAACAACATGAAAAGCTTTTTTTTTAAAAAAAAGAAAATTACTACCTGGTCTTTTGTAAAACATTATACATGTATTAGGTTTGCATGGCCAGGTTTTGGTAGCAAGGGGTGGCTTCTGTGAGAAGTTGCCAGGAGCTTCCCCCATACCCAACAGAGCCAATGCCAGCCAGCTCCAGGATGGACCTGCCAATGGCCAAGGCTGGGCCAACCAGAAATGGTGGGAATACCTCTGTGATAACAGATCAAAAAAGAAGGAACAAAAGAATTCTGGCATAGAGGGAATTGTGGCCAA